GGAATATCATTCTTCCATAATACAATGGAATATAATTCTGCCATAAGGATGTGCTTCAGACATTTATAGCTAAATGGATGGACCTTGAGACCATACTCCTAAGTAAAATAAATTGGATACACATGTTTAAATACTGCATTGTTTCTCTGGTGTGAGAAACCAAAAGTGGAAATAAGGACTGAAATGTATAATGGATGTTGGGAAACGGGAAGAAAGTGTTCAAATGGGGAAGGCAACAAGGGAGGAGGGAGGGAGAAAGGGACAACAAAAAAAGTGAAAATAGAAGGAAAAATAGAAACAAAGTTTCTGTACATAGGGAGGGGAAGGGGAGTGATGGGGAGAAATGGGATAAAATAAAATTTATTTTAAAAAGAGAAAGAAATGTTGTTAAGCTGAGCATGGTAGCACATCCCTCTAATCCCAGCACTCAGGACACTGAGGCAAGAGGTTCACCATGAGTTTGAGGTCAGCCTCGACTACCTAGTGAGTTCAAGGCCAGCCTGAGCTACAAAGACTCTGTTTCAAGGGGGGGGGGGAAAGATGTTGGGAATATTGGCTATCCACATGCAGAAGATTAAATCTAGAGCCATATCTTTCACTATGTATTAAAGTAAAATCAAAATGTATTGAAGATCTGAATGCCAAAAGCAGAAATAATCTGCTGCAAGACAAAATAGGTAGAAATCTTGAATATATAGGCATAGGCAAGGACTTTCTGACTACAATTTCACCTGTGTAAGACAGTACCAAGAATCAACAAATGGGATCATATACAATTTAAAAACCTTTGCACAGCAAGAAAACAGCAAGCAGAGTGAAGAGGCAAACCTACAACCTACAGGATAGGTAAAAGTTTTTGTCAGCCATTTTTCAAACACAGAATATCTCAAGAACTCAAAATACTAGACCCCCCCAAATAGAAGTCCCAATAAGAAAATGGGCAACTGAAATGAATAAACACTTCTCAGAAGTAGTACTGAAAATGGGGGGGCCAGGGATTTAGCTCAGTGGTTTCTCTGCCTGCTGTGCAAGCGCAAGGACCCAAGTTCGATCCCCGGTACCAAAAAAAAAAAAAAAAAAGAAGTAGTAGTGCTGAAAATGGCCAATAAATACATTAAAAATGTTAAACACCTGTGACCATTAGAGAACTGTAAGTTAACACAACACTGAAATTTCACCTTACTCCAGAAAGAATCGCTGTCACCAAGCAGTCAAATAATAATAAATGGTGGCAAGGCTGTGTGTGTTGGGGGGACCCGTCTACACTGTTGGTGAGAATGTAAATTAGCACAAACATTATGGACATCAATATGTAGAATTCTCAGAAAACTAAAACTAGCAATTTTTCAATCGAGCTATTCCTGTTCTAGGTATCTTCCTGAAAGTTAGGATATCACGTTACAGTGACATATGCATACCCATGTTTATAATAGCACAGCTCATAATAGACAACTTTGGAAGTGGCCTATATGTCCATCAGCAGATGAATGGTTAAAGAAAATTTGCCACTTATACACAACAGATTACTACTTTGCTGTACACTTGAATCACTTGTAGGAAAATGGACATACCTTAAGATCATAATGTTTAGTGAAATATATCAGACACAGAAGCTTAAATATCCCATGATTTCTCTTATTGAGAAATCCAAAATATAAATAAAGAGCAAAATAAAAGATAATAGGAAATAGGGAGATATATCGTTTGCAGTAGGGAAGGGGACTGAGAAATAGATGGTGGAAGGAGGGAAGGAAAGAATAGGAAGTAAAAGGGACTAAAATGCAATATGTATATAATAGCAACTCCACATGATGAATGTATTTATTATGTATGGAAAACATATACTAATTTTTTTAAAAAGAGGAAAAGAAATAATAGTCTTTTCATAAATACAGTTGGGATAATTGGGTATCCACATGGAAAAGAAGGAAAGTATATACTTGAAACACCTGAACATATGCACTAGGAGACATGTAGAAGAATGTTCATAGGAGAAAATGACTTAGAAGAAGGAGCAGCATTATTCATAACATCCCAATTCATAGCATCCCAAATTTGAGACACCTCATGATCCAACAGTAGAATGGATAAATAAAATGTGATAAAATCATGCTGTGTGGGGATGCATGTTTACAATCCCAGCTACTGAAGAGAATGAAGCAAGAGGACTGCAATTTCCAGGACAACTTGGGAAAATCAGTGAGGTCCTATCTCTAAATAAAAAGGGGTGGGATGTAGGTTAGTGGTCAAGCACTTGTCTGAAATGCACAACACTCTGTGTTCAATCCCCAGTACTGAAAAGAAAGTGACATTTTCTTAATTTTTTTCTTTTGTGGAACTGGGGATTGAACTCAGGGCCTCTGTATCTCTGAGAATTCTCACTCCTTTTTTTATTATTTGAGAGAAGGTCTTGCTAAATTGTTCCGGCTGATCTCAAACCTGAAATCTTCCTGCCTCAGCCTCTGGAGTAGCTGGGATTACACACATGTTCCTTTCACATCTGGCTTCCTAAGGATAATTCACAGCAAAGACATGAACAAACTACAGTATCATATATTATATACAAAAATTAAGGTATGGTGCCCGCTTCGGCAGCACATATATAAAAATTAAGGTATGTACTATACAATTTAATTTATAAAATTCATTTCAAAACCAGGAAAAATTGTATTATTTAGTGATGCATAATAATAAACTACAAATAAAGGCAAATTATGATTGTGGTTATCTTTATAAGGGAGTGCTATGGCTTGTTATCTAGATGTTCCCCCAAGTCTGGGAAGTGGCTGAATCCTGGGTGTGTGCTGGATCAGGGGGCTGTGATAACTAAATTGATTTAGCAAAGATCTGGGTGTGGATAATGGAAGCCCCACCCTGAGTATGGGTGACACCACCCAAAAGGCTTGTAGGACTTCTCACTTAACCTACTTTATCTAGGAAGGCTTCTTGCCTGAGTCAAGAGTTGGCTTGAAAACCACGCAGAATTAGTCAATGAAGGACGATTGTTTCTCAGGATTGAGGTATAATAAGAGAAAAAAAAAAGCGATGATTTTATAACTCTTTGGAGTCTCTGGCTTGGATGTATTAATTAGGAATGATTTTCACTTTCACATATGCTGACTACATAAGGACATTAAAATTATTTTGGGGTGAATTTTGCTTTGATAAATGTTTGAGATTCCACCACAAACCTCATACATTTACTGTAAACCAGATACTAAGGACTTTACCTGTCTTAACTCATTTAATTCTTTCAACAATGCTATGAGATTGTCCTCATTTTATAGATGAAGAAACTAAGGTAGTCAGAGGTTAGTTAAGAGTTTGGCTGAGGTTGCAGAACTGGAATTTGAAGCTGAGCATTTTGATTCTAGAATTCTTTGATTGGTTGAGACAGGGTTTCACTATATTGCTCTAGTGTTCCTCAAAGTCCTAGACTCAAGTGATCCTACTTCAGCCTCTTGTCTTAGGATTATAGGCAGGTGCTACAGTGCCTGGCACTGCTTTTAGAAAAAAAAAAAAAAAAAAGGAAGAAGACAGCATCAGTTCTGGAACTTTTCTTAGGCTTCTTCACACTATAAACTTATAAACTATGGTATGCTTTTAATGACACGAAGACAATTACCTCCTCTTTTACTTCATCCTACTGTTTAGACCTTTGGTTTTCCAATGACAACCAACTGTCATTCTTTCTGGCGATTCCAAATTAAAAATGCAGCCGACCTCACCCGTTTTTTTTTTTTTTTTAAGCCTAACACATATTTCTATTTTAAAAACTGTAGGGAGCAGGGGAAGTTACCAGAACCTCTGCAGTAAGTCCTAGTCTCCTGTGAGCCACGGCAGCACACGGTGAACTACAGGAAAGGTAGACAAATGAGACTGAGAAGAAGGTGAGCTTTGTGTCTGATCAGTGGTGCTCTGGGCAGCAAAGACAAAAGCCCCAGTTTACCACACCTTTTATTCAGTACCTCGTAACAAATGACTTGCAGAGAATTCAGTACATCGGGAGAAACAAATGTAACAAATGACTTGCAGAGAGTTCAATAGTTCACATTAGGATAAACAAGGTGTAACGGAAGGCTTGCAAGAGAGTTCAGTACATCTCCGGCAAACAAGATGTTAACAATCCAAGAACAACGAGGAACTGAGCAGATGTTTGTTCTCCCACGATGTTTCTTGTCCTGGAGAATCGCAGCATCACTGGATCACTAAAGTCTCAGTTGTGACCGGAGGCCAAACTGGAGTTATTCTGTAGCTGGGCTGTAGGCAAGAGAACTAGGCTAACCAAATGATTTTTCCCTAGAATTATGTAGCATTGCTCCCAACAAAAAACCAATTGCATAGTTTATTCATACTTATTTGGTCAGCCTCCTCAGTTACAAGTGTGCTTTGAAAAAACCCACCAAGGTTTTTAAATTAACGATCCAAGATAAACAAAATTTTCGGTTTTGAAGAACATGGATAAACCTTACAGCTATGTACTGGATTTGGTGTGCTACTGTTCATTACAGCACTTTGTGGAACGTTAGGAAGTGACTAATACACTAATTTATTACCAGAGATCACAAGAGCTGTTATAACTGACAAGTGTTTTTACTCTCCTTACGCTTGATAGTATGACAAATTTGGGAAATTATGTACTTCCAAATCACCGAAGATGGGGAATGGCATTATACAGTAAGTTCTGCAGGGCTGTTTTTCCCTGTCCACATTATAGACACGATACAAACACCATCAAGACATCTAACTATTCCATAACAGGTCACACCTACCCAGACTAACTGGAAGACCACAGATCATAACTAGAATCACAGTTACTGTTCTTCACCTAGTGGGCTTGAGTTTCTTGAAGATCTACAGCACACAAACTACCCCGGTGCCCACCTGCCTCTTTATAGCCTCCCCCAGAACCGCTCGCCCTTCAGCCTTTGCGCCTTTCCCGATGGAGCCCTGGGGAGCTCCCCAGTCTCCACCCAGCACATCAGCCTCTTCACCTGGAGGCCAGTTTAGAGGAAAAACGGACAGAGGGGAGGGACACAGAAAGAGCGAGAGAGCGAGCGCAATGGTCAACTCCTCAAACTGCAGCCCCTTCGCGCGCCTCAGCCCTCCTCCCGGGGGCTGAGATTGGAGAGGAAGTGGGAAGGTTCCGATCTGCTCCTCAGCCAGTGCCCTCATGCCCCCACCCTTCTCCTCAGCACGGGGCTTCGGCGCGCCTCGTCCCCGCCCCTCGCCCCAGGAGAGGAGAGGGCGGCGCAGTAGGCCTCACGGAGAAAAGCCGGGGCCGGCCGACCGCATCGGCCCCACAGCCACGTCCACCGAAGCCGGGCACCCCAGCCCCGCGCCCGCCGGAGAGCCAGGCCAGAGGACAGCCTCAGAAACCGCGGGCGCCGGATGCGCGCTCGCGTCACTTCCGGGCGGTGCAGCGGCGGCCACTTGGAAGATGGCTGCGCCCTGTGGCTCGGAGCTGCCCGCCAACTCGCCGCTAAAAATCCCGAAGATGGAGGTGCTCTCCCCAGCTTCTCCTGGTGGCCTGAGCGACGGAAACCCATCGCTGTCCGACCCTTCCACGCCTCGGGGTGCCTCCCCGCTCGGGCCGGGCAGTGCGGCGGGCTCGGGGGCAGCGGCGTCCGGGGGTCTCGGGCTGGGGCTGGGGGGCCGCAGCGCCGCCTCGTCCTCGGTCTCCTTCTCCCCTGGTGGCGGCGGTGGCGGGGCTGCGGCAGCCGCCGCCGCCGCCTGCCGGGGCATGTCGTGGACGCCGGCCGAGACGAACGCGCTCATCGCAGTGTGGGGCAACGAGCGGCTGGTGGAGGCGCGGTACCAGCAGCTGGAGGGAGCCGGCACGGTGTTCGGCAGCAAGGCCCCCGGGCCGGCCATGTACGAGCGCGTGTCCCGGGCCCTGGCCGAGCTGGGCTACGAGCGGACCCCGTCCCAGTGCCGGGAGCGCATCAAGGTAACCGGCCGCCCGGCCTGGGGCAGCGAACCAAAGGCAAAGCAAAGGCGGGGAAGCGGGCCTCGGGGGCGGGGGCCGGTCTGAGAGCGGGGCTCCCCTCCGGGGCCCGGTGGGCGACTCGCATCTCCTCCGCCTTTATCTTCTCTCCCTGGGAAGAGGGCTTTTTTTCCTTATGGCCGCCAGCCCGTAGGTTTCCTAAGTTTGAAGTTGGGCGTGCCTGCCGCCGCCCCTTTTTCCTGCCAATTGAGGATGTTCTGCGCTCTGAAGTTGGTAGTTGCTCATTGTGCGCGGTGCGGCTGTCCCCGTGCCGCTGGCGCGTGTCGCCCCCGCCGCCGGGGCCCTTCGCTTTGTTCCAGACAGAGGGGCTCCCAGGCAGAGGCTTACTAGCTGGGGCTGGGTTGAGGAAGGGCTAAACGGGGGCCGTTGAGCCCCCACTTAGGAATTTTCTGTAGATGGTGCAGCCTTTCGAAAAGCGCTTTGGAAGGACCGGCCTTTGTGTCAGTCCCTTTGCTTCTAACTTGAGGTGTGAAGGATGAGTGAGACTTGAGATGCTTTGGAGAATTGGAAAGGCTTGATTGTAGCCAGGTTGTATATTGTTCTCGTGGAGATAGTGGACACCTTGAAAGTTAGCCTGGCTGAGAGTTGTTCTGGAATTTGGATCGTCGGTGTCTACAGAGTTATGCTGGTTGAGCCCTGCTGTTTCTGACAAGCCCCTTGAAAGCCAGTTTACTCTGCTGTAGTCACTGTACCAGATGTGATGAGAGCAAGTAAAACTGCATCTGGCAGTCCTTGTGTATCTGCATGTTTAATGCAGAGGCTTGATCTGGGCTACTGACTTTTATCTAGGTATTCGAATTTGTATTGGTAGATAAAAGAGTTGCAGTTTACTTAAGCTCTTGGCCGCCTCATAGCATCTGTGAAAAGATTTGGGTAGGGTTCTCCCAGTTTTCACTGAAAATACTTCTATTACTTACTCATAGTGGCTGCATATTTTCCTGGTAGGGCTGGCACTTTTTCTGGGAACTCCCGAGGGTTGGGTTAAAAACCACTAAGAACAGTTTTAAGTGAGAGTAATCTCACTAAAGAACAATCAAAATCCAGTAAGAACAGTCCTAAGAGTGATCACACTAAAGCACAAAGATTGTGACTAAGTTATGAGGTCTTGGCTCCTGTAGTGTTCATTAGCCCATTTTGTTACTTAGAAAATTTGGTCCAGAAACCAAGCTATTTCACACGTACTCACTGCTGTGGAAGAAATTTGGTACCCATTACGAAATTAAATTTTTTTTTGGTAACATATGCCTTTGGACTTCATATGCATCCCATTTTTTAAATGTTATTAAAGTAGTAGCTGATAGGGAAAAGTGTATGAATTTCATTCATTGTTCTATTCAAGGTCATTAAGGGTAAATTTTTCATAATGTTTTTTGCACTGCTCTGGATAGCACCTAGCTATGAACTTTTCTTGAGTTTAGAGCTTTTCTTGAGTGCACTTTAGGCATGTGTAACTATTTAGCTTGCTTAATTTTTGTCCATAGAAATTTCCCAAGTTGTGCCAGAATGAATGCCTGAAAAGAAATCTCAGGACTGGGGAGGCTGAAGGAGGAGGATTGTGAGTTTTAGGCCAGCCTGGACTACACAGACAGGCTGTCTTGAAAAACAAAAACAAAAAAATTATCAAAGGGATAAAGTGTGTGCTATCAAAACCTCATTGAGGGTCTGGGGATTTGGCTCAGTGGTTCCGCCGCCTGCCTTCCAAGCACAAGGTCCTGAGTTCGATTCCCGGTACCAAAAACAAAAAAAAATCATTGAATTTAATCTCTCCATAAAATTGTTTCTCACACAATCAGGGCATAGCTAGTTAGTTGCTTCATTCTGCAGTTATGAGAAGGAAACCTAAACCAAAGAAAGGAGATGAAGCCTCTGAAAAAAAATTTAAAAAAGAGGATCAGTTTGCCCTTCTCTAGACAGTTAAGGTCAAGTTGAACTCAAACTCTTAGGATATTTTGATAATATGCAATTGGTGATGGTGGGATCTCTGGTCCACAGTAGTGGTTAAGAGGAAGGCAGGTAACAGTTGTTTTTGAAGGGCTCTACTCTTTAAATGATTTAGTCAGGGAACCCATACTTCTTTGTTAATGTTGTTCTTTCCTGTTACATTTATTAAGCTCTTCAAGGACAGGTTTTGTCTTATTCATTAGCATACTTATTAAATTCATCAAATGAAGTCCAGAAAGATAATTTTGCAAAGTATAAAAATATACAACAGTGCTCTTGACTTTGGAATATAGACTTTGGAACACAGTTTGAAAAGTACTACATTAAAAACTAAGCTCTGTCCTTTTAGGAGACTTAGTGTGAATGTGATCTTAAGCATAGAAGCAAATGTGGTCACTTGAAATCATACCAATTATGCAGTTATGAGGTGGATGTCCAAGTAATACAGATTATGCTTCTGAAGATAAAAATACAGCCTTAAATTCTCAGAGAGTCTGAAACCCCTGAAAACAAATCCTCACGTCCCAGAAATACAGATTTTAGAACAAGTGATTTAGGAATCGCTTGCTTTATTATATTGATGAGTACTGGGAAAAGAAATTCAGTGATGCTTTTTGCTGTAGTTTAAAAAAAGCTAAAGTAGAAACAAAGTAGTTCATTAAGATGCAGAAAATGAGGAACTTCTTGTACATATTAGTGTAGCTCACTAAGATGTGAATTTGGAGCTAGGGATGTAGTTCAGTATAGCAGACATGAGGCCTTGAGTTCAATTCCTAGCTCTCAGAACAAAATAAAATGAACAAAAAATCCAGAGCTGGGCATATTGGCCCATACCTGTAGTCCCAGCACTCTGGGAGGGTGAGGCAGGAAAATAGCAGTTCATGCCCAGCCTGGTTAATTTATCAGTTTAGCAAAACCCTGTCTCAAAATAAAAAAGCTGGGTGTGGTGGTGCAACCTTCTAATCCCAGCACCTGGGATGCTGAGGCAGGAGGATCACTGTAAGTTTGAGGCCAGCCTGAACTATATAGCCAGAACCTGTCTCAAAAAAATAAAATAAAGAGCCAGGGATTTAGCTCAGTGGCACCGTGCCTGCCTTGCAAGTGCAAGGTCCTGAGTTCAATCCCTGGTACTGTGAAAGAAAGAGAAAAGAAAGAAGAGAAGGGAGGTTGGTTAAAATTAAAAATTTTAAAAAACAAAAAACGAATAGCTGAGTTTTCTGCCAGCCATTTTCACAGCCACTCTTCTGAATAACCTTAAAGCACATCACTTAGCTTCTCTGGGCGGTACCTCTTATCTATATAATGAAGTATTAAAATTGTAAATATAAAAATTGAATTAACTCAGATTTTGATACTAGAGTTCTTTTTATTACTGTTCAAATGACTTTAAGCATTCAAGATTTTGAGAGTCAGAGATAAGCATTTGTTTAGTGCATCAGAGAGTTTCATTTTGATGTCTGTTATGTTATTGGTGTTCTGTCTTTTGGATAAAATGGATGTTTGAGACTGCCTTGTTACGCAGATTGTTGTTTATTCTGAAGTTTTGTTGTGTTTCTATTTGCCAGAAGACAATTTGTCTGTTAACAATTCCAGCCCAGTTTTAGAGTCAGATAAATAAATCTGGAGGGTCTTTGTCTAGTCCTTGTGTGGTTTTTCTCCCATAGACCTTCCCTTCACCTTCACAAAATACTTAAATGCTTACTATGTGTAGGACCTTCTGCTGGATGATAGAATGAATAAGAGAACTGCTAATGTACAGTTCCTGTAGCCCAAGAATTTACAGTGCCCTGAAGCTTGTATGTACACATCAAAAAGTTAAAAAAAAAAAAAAAGAAAAGAAAAAAGATACAAGACAATACAAGGGATGGTGTGCAGGGCATTACTTGATTAAGTGTTACATAACTAAAGCAGACTATAAGTATGATGACTTAAAAAGTGGGAGTGATCTCGTCATTGTCCATACTATAGTGGTTAAAAGATCTATCTGGACTTGGAATTCATGAAGCATTCACTTCTGAGCCAGATGCTACATTCACACTTCAGTCATTTAATCTGATACACTGCAAAACTCATTCTTACATCCCATATTTTGAGTGTTTTCCAAAAATTTGCCCCTTGAGAGTTGGCTAAGTTTTTGAAAGTGACATGTGCTAGCTTTGCTTCAAGATGAAATGCAAGGTGATTGCATAAGACCTAAAAAAATTTGCCTTTACCAGACAAGGTGCACACCCATTAATCCAAACAACCTGGGAGCCTGAAGCAGTAGGATCAGGTGTTTGAGGCCAGCCTGGGCAATTTAGTGACTTAACATCACCTTGTCTCAAAAAAAGTGAGGATGTAGCTCAGTCTGAAAGCTCTGGATTAAATCCCCAGTACCACAACAAACAAACAAAAACTTTGCCTTTGTTGGGAGTAGCTCATCATACACATTTATAAATGTATATTTTTATATCTAACAAAATGTTTTGTTTATGCCTAACAAAATGATTATTTTCTTGGGTCCTTGCTTAGATTTATTCAGTAACTCATTATTGTTGGAACAAATTTTGTACTTGAGCACACAAATCACAACATAGTATATTTGTTTTTCCTTTTAGCTTTCAAGCCTCATTTCTTTCTTTCTTTTTTTTTTTTCTGGTACCAGAGATCGAACTCGGGGACCTTGAGCTAAATCCCCGGCCCAAGCCTCATTTTTCATTTGTAAGAATCAATAGGGCAGAGATAACTTGGAGCCAAAACATCCCTTTGTCCCTCTGTAACCACTATCTTTTGGTTTGCAGACTAATCTTTTCTTCTGCATTATCATTGAAACATTTCCAGGAATTGTCATAAGCCACGCAAAAATAGTTCATAAGAAAGATTTAGTTAGATCCTTCCCCCAACTTCTGTTGTTCCCGTCATACTGTTATTTGAAAGGTTGTGAGTTCCAGTTTGCTTGTTGGCTTACAAGTCTGACAGAGGGTTGATAGTATTTTAGAAGAAATAGGCCATCTTTGACTGCTAACTGTACACTTATATTTTGGCTTTCAGTTTTGGAAGTAAATCTAACAAGGGCCTCCTGAAACTGAATGAATAGGATTCTTAAATTTATTTCCTGGCATTTTGGGAAATCTAATAGAGTCAAGTTATATATTCTGGATACTTCATTGAGACAGTCTATAAAAGGAAAAAGAATTTCGAAAGCATGATGTATAAACAGTGCTGTTCAATAAAACCTTTTGTGATGATAGGTTCTTTAGCTCAGTTCAGTGTGATAACGTGGTTATTGGGCCCTTGTGTTTATTGGCTAGTTTGCCTGAAGAACTGGATTCTTAGTTTTATTTAATTTCAATTAATTTAATTTAAAGTTTTAAGTAGCAACATGTAGCTGGTGGCCACCGGGTTGAACACTTTGTAGTAAAAAGTTGTTGTAGTATTAGTCTTTATTTTATGAGGATTCTCTTGGCCACGTACTCAGACCTCTAGGGGGAGCTCTGGGTTCCTTCTTATCCTTACTAATTTACCCCTGTGTAGGAGGAACCTTGATTTGTCAAGAAAAATGGAGCTTTTAGCACAAAGAATGAAAGTATTATAGCTTCAACTGAAAGAGGCTGGTAGTGTATGTGTTCTTGGTTCTGTGGGACACTGCTGTCCAGTAGAATTTTCTATAGTGATGGAAGTATTCTCTATCACACTCTAATATGGTAGTCACAAACTACAGGTGACTATTGGGTGCTTGCAGTGTGACTAGAATGACTGAAACAATTTTTAATTTTATTTAATTTTAATTAAATTTAAATAGCCACATGTAACTAGTGGCTGTTATGTTGGCAGAATAACTTTGGCATAATGGTGTTCAGACTTTTTTTGCTATGTACTCCCAAAAGAGTTTTGAAATCCATGTATTTTCCCAAACATTAAAATTTCTCATAATATATTTAAGACTTTATAGAAGGTTAATAGGATATGAAAATATTAAATCTAGTTTGAGATAAAGAAGATGGATATAAAATATGAATAATGTACTTTGAATCTGAAAAATCCACACAAATTTCTTATTGGTAGGTTTTGTCAAATGTATCTTGAAAATGTTGGTGATTAGGAAATATTTCAGTTACATTTAAAAGAAACAATGGGATTTAGATCAGTGGTGCCACGCCTGCCTCAAAAGCACAAGGTCCTGAGATTGATCCCTGATGGGGGATGGGGAACAATGGCACAAACCTAAATTGCCTTGGTCATTCTAAGTTCTGGAGTCAAGCTTCACCTAAAAACAAACATACAGAGTCAGCCAGAAAATGTATATGTCAGGAAAAGAACAATTTGTATAAATATTTGAATACTAAATGTATTGAGACATCATGAGATTAATACAAGTTACCTTTGGCCTCTACAGTTACAAGAAGTGCTCATAGTGGTGGCCATTAGCTTCCAGACATTTATTAGTACAGCAAACTACTGAAGTGTATGTACATTCTTTTGTCAGACTCTGTATGTAAATGACTGGATGTGACAGGAATCCCTAAGGCTCTAAGGTGCCTTGATCATCAGTACAGGAGGCATATGGCTGTCTCTGTTAAAACACTTTAGAACTCTGAAGATCTCAAAGCATCTTTTGATCTTTTGGGTATCTTTCCTGGCTGATACAGTGGGACTGGGCCCTTGTATTCTACTGCTCTTAGAAAGCCCAGAAACAGGAAGATTAAAAGGGAAAGGGAAGAGCTTAGCTCTTGGCTAAAGTCCAGGTAGAGGGGCATAACTTGGTTATCTTGCTCCTTTCCTTTTATTAGATTCAACTGGTAGATGCATCACACACTTTCTTTGAAATAATAAGGTACAGGGCCAGGGATTTAGCCCAGTGGTTCTGCTGCCTGCCTCACAAGCGCAAGGACCTGTGTTCGATCCCCGGTACCAAAAAAACAAAACAAAATAAAATAATAAGGCCTGAAATAGGGACTTTGTTTTTTCATTATTCAGCAAATATTTTTACCTCCCATGGTAGGCTCCAGAAATACAGCCATGAACCATTTACCTTCAAGGTGTCTACCTTCCTGTGAAGTCAGAATGAAAGGACTAGTTTTGTATTGTGAACAAGGCTGTGTGTCTTGTTGGTGTTCACATCAAGCTTGAGGCACTTCAGGACCACATATGATCCTAGGTTCTCAGGAGGTGAATCCTGGAGCTGAAGTAGCATTTAATTGGCAGAAGGCAGTGGGGTAGGTGATCAGCTGGTGTAGAGCTCAGAGGCAGCAAAACGTACAATAGTGCAAACTGCAAATGCAGTAATATTGGAGGGCCATCAATCCACCAACTGTCTAGAAAGGAGGACAGGGAGAGATAAAAAAAGACAATAGAGACTTGCATTAATTGCTAAGTACATGGGGGGCTGGGAAGTCAGTGCCCCAGAGTGAGCAAAGACAAAGATACTCCAAGCTAGCCACTATTTATTGGGTACACACAATAATTGGAGTATTGAATGACTTAGAGGGCTGTGGTAATCCTATGTTGATGAGGATCCTAGGTTGCTGAGGATCTCAGGTTGATGAGGGGGTAGAGAAAGCATTCTTATAATATTGCATTCTTACAATAGTAGGTGGGACTAGATTGGAGGCTAACGAAGTTGTCCTTCCCCCAGGTGAAACCTTTCTCTCTCTCTTTTTTTAAAATCACTACTTGGGTTCTTGAAGAACCAGGATGATGTACTCTTGCTCCATGGAACCATTAAGGCCTCAACCTGTGATGGAAGCAAAATGGAGTTATGTCTCTGCATGCCATAGCTGGCTCTTGGGCCACGTGACATTGGGCCTTAGACAGCTGTAGTCATACTTTAATTACGAAATGATTTTTTCCCCAAAATTATGTAGAATTGCTCTCAACACAGTAAGATGTATTTATCCATGAACCTCAGACTGGAAGAATCCAAATAGTGAAATTGTTTCAAAAATTCTTAAGTGATCAATTGTTTAAAAAGTCTTGCCTTGCTCTAGGCATCCTGGTTCATGACTGTAATCCCAGCACTCAGCAGGCTGAGGCAGAAGATCACCGCAAGTTCGAGGTCACCTTGGGCTAGGCAGTGAGTTCAAGGCCAGCCTGAACTACACAGTGAGACCCTGTCTCAAAAGTTCAAGAAAAAAGGGCCAGGGATTTAGCTCAGTGGTTTCACTGCCTACTGCGCAAGCGCAGGGACCCGAGTTCAATCCCCGGTACCAAAAAAGAAAAAGAAAAAAACCCATGCCTTTTCACTGTAATGCATGGCAAATGGTGAGATAGAAGGTACAAATGGTAGGTTAGTGTTTTCATAAAGATTCATTTAAAAAGATGAATCTGATAGTTTTGGGATGACAATATGTGGGTATATCAATTCTAGGTAATGTTTTGCTAACTAACATGTTTTTTATAGTGCTGAGCTGCAGTTGTACAGATATCCAATTTATTTTTCATTCCTTAATTTATATACTGGAAAGAAAAACCAAAGCAGTGTATCTTTTTTAGACTACCCACAAAAGGTATATGTTTACCCTGGGACCTAGTATTTAAATAATATAACATATGTAAAACTGAAATAAATTTCATGAAATAACAGTGATTATCACCAGGCATGGTGGCGCAAACCTATAATCCCAACACTGGGAGGCTAAGGCAGAAGGACTGAAAGTTCAGTCAACCCCACCCTGGGCAGTTTAGTGACTTACCAAGACCTTGTCCCAGAATAGAAAAGGGCTGGGGATCTAGCCCAGCACAAAAGCCCTAGTTCAATACCCAGTACTGGAAAATGAGAGACATCACTTATGTAACATTTACTATGCGTCATATACTATTCTAAGTGATTTATAAATATTATTTAACCACAAAATGTAATACCTGATTACATGCAATACAGTATTCTATTTGTGCACAAGCAGTCCAGCTCCAGAGCCTCTTTAGCAACAGTCTGTGATACATGAAAGCATCTTCCTCTCCCCTCCTCATCCTTCCCCCCTGACCTTTTCAGCATACCTCCTCCTCCCACCCATCCTGTGGTACCACTTAGACCCCTTCTCCAGCCACAGCCTCAGGGTTTCCAGAAATTCCCTCACCTAAAACTGGTGGAAAGAAGACCTGGGGCAGTGGGGACAGCCGCTCCCACTGGTACTGAGCCGCAGGGTCGCTCCTCGGGGACTGGCAGCTCAGGGTCACATTGGCCCCTGCACGGGGCACACCCAGGAGTCTGCAGGCTGGAGTCGCTGGAGGAACTGGGGAAGGGAAAACAGGTTAAAACCCACACCCAAGAGACCCACAGACACCGCCTCTGTCACTCGATGTCCTGCCCCCAATTTTGGCCCCTTGGGAGGGAGGTGAACCTGAACTCTTGTGGAGTGGGGAGGGATCTGGAAGTGTGTGCTTCTCACTCACCCAGCACATTGAGTTCCACAGTTTTGCTGTCATGGCCCTTGTGTTGCACATTCACAGAGCAGCTGTAGGAGCCAGAGTCTTTTTTCTGGAGACCCTGCAGCCTCAGGGACACATTCCGAGAGGGCATGGCGTGGACCAGGGATACTCCAGGGTTGCTTGACACGGACCCGTTGATGTAGGCCAACACCTGGTGGGGGCAGGACAGCTTCTTGTTATTCCATGATGCCCTGTGTTCACAGTTCAGCCAGTCTCGCTCTCCTGAACTGGCCTTCTTCATGTGAGCCTCAGTGTTCACCCTTCTCCCCAGCTGTTTCCCTAGACTCTGCCACTTCATTGCCCACTGAGTATTTAGAAGGGGGTCACATCTCACAAAAATTGACTTCTCAGCCCTCTACTAGAACATAAACAACAATTGATAAGAAGATGAGAAGATACTAAAGTGAGATCAAGATGTCTTTAATCATTGTGACATTTTAATCATTTAGGCACAGGATACCAAAACTCCAGAAACATCATTAATTTGTAACAGCTCATGTCCCAGATACCCTTCTGAAATGTTTTATTCTATGTTGTCTTGGATAGCTGGAGCCTAGGATTTGAGAGTAAAAGTGGAGAAAATGGATAGTAAGAAGAAATGAGACGGGCCGGGGATTTAGCTCAGTGGTTCCACTGCCTGCCTCGAAAGCGCAAAGTCCCAAGTTCGGTCCCCGGTACCAAAAAAAAAAAAGAAGAAGAAGAAATGAGACTGGATACATAAATGAGATCAGGTGGAAGTAAGGAGTTTGAAATTTACCCCAGTCATCAAGGGATTTTAAGCCAATAGTATTATGATTAGCCTTAAATTTTAGAGCAATCACTGACTGTAATGCGCAGAATGGAAAGGGTAAAACTAGAAGCATAAAGAGTAGATATTTCTTGCAGTAGGCTGGATAAAAGGTGCAGAAAGTGGCTATGAAGCTAGAGAGAAGATAATATTTCATACCTATTGAAATAGAGGCTAGGGCTAGGGATTTAGCTCAGTGGCACTGGCCCTGCCTTGCAAGTACAAGGTCCTAAATTCAATCCCTGGTACTAGAAGAAGGAGAAGGAGAAAAATCAGGGCTGTCTACAGAATCTGAACATTTTCATTTACAGGATTTGTTAGATCTTAACTTTCGGTGTTACTTGCCATCTGCTTTACCAACTTACACAAAGACCTTCCTAGCTTACGTTTTTACGATTCATTTCTCAGAACCCATTACGATACAGGTAGAACACTGTATTAGGACAGGCCTACCTATGTGTTGATGCTTTCCACAGACTCTTAGGCTCTGGACTGCTCCCCAGTCTTCAGAAGTGATTATCTTGCCATTATTTTTCCTTCTTAACATTACCAGAGGATAAGAACTAAAATTCAGATCTAAAAGTTCAAATGTTAATTATCATAGTTACCCTGAAGTGTGCTTCTGTAATTAGGCTAAAGTAGAATAGCATTTTCTCCCCATGGAAAGCTACATCTGTAATGTTTAAAAAATGAAATAAAATAGGATGAAAACTTTCTGAGTTTCAGAAACAGAGTAGTAGTATAAAGTGCTTTAGATTTTAAACATTTGATTGTTAACATTCCAGTGATAGTTTCATTTTGTTTCTGTTGTGGACGTCATGCACTGTGTCATATTCTGCTTCCTACTTACCAGTGCAGAAACTTTATCCAGTGTTTAAGTTTAATTCATAATTCTTTGCCTCAGATGCCTGTGTTACCTATTATCTGGGATGTATAATCTACCTTGAATTTTTTCTCCTGTTGTTTTTTTTTTTGGTACGGGGGATTGAACTTGGGACCTTGCGCTTGCTGAGCTAAATCCCCGGCCCTCTGCTGTTCTTCTAAATACACATTTGAAGGATGTCTGCATTTGAAAAAAGACACATTTAATTAAATCTGTATAATTCTCATCTGTTTGTAGTTGAGCAAGTCCTTGAGAGCCAATGGAAATACTTTTTTTCTTGGCATTAATCAAGTGAGTATTATCTTTTTTTAGTAGACTGTATTGTTACTCTTTAGTAAAATACAAACCTCTGTTTGGGCAGTTTAGCCATCATGTTGTCTTTATATATATGCTCTTGGCTGTACTCATAAATTAAAATTTTGAGCTACCAAATATTACTTCATTCAGTGTAGATTGAGGCAGTAGAGAAGTCATTTACTTAGATGTTTTTCAGTTGCATCTCAGCCTATGTAAGATGATTTTGTTGAAATAGCTTAAATGAATGTTACAGTATTGTTTCTCTGCTATCTTCAGATTACTTCATTTATCTGAATAATCTAATTATGTTTGTAATTGATGTTAATAAAAGTAGAATAAATACCTACCCAAAACTGCTTTTAAAAAAAAAGGAAAAAACTTTTCTCTAATGGAAAAATCTGGTTTATGATTTAGAAAGAATATGATAGGTCAAAAAAATACCTCAACCTTATATTTGGTATCTCAATTGCCTATATACAGTCTGAAGTATTTTTATCCACTCAATTGTTCATTCATTCATCAGACATTTATTGAGGGCCAGGGATGTAGCTCAGTGGTGCCATGCCTGCCTCACAAGCATAAGGCCCTGAGTTCAATTCCCAGTACTGGAAAATAAGAAGAAAAAATAAATTTATTGAGAACTGGGTGTGGTGGACACCTGTAATCCCAGCACTTGGGAGGCTGAGGCAGGAGGACTGCCGTGAGTTGGAGGCCAGCCTCGGGTACAGTGAGTTCAAAGTCAGCCTGAACCACAAAGTGAGACCCTGTCCCCCCCAAAAAATTATTTTTGCTTTGTGAATTAGGATTTATATAATTTAATGTTATTCTTTTGTGTATATGTAGCTGTGATTATGGTTTGCATTACTGAACAGCGGAGTGCTACATGGTTACTCTTCATTTATTAACTAGTTTATGAATACCTCTTCTTGACCCAGGGACAATGCAGGGTCCAAAGGTAGTCTTGAGCCAAACAGGTAATTCCTTTCTCTCTTGTACAATTAGGAAAATTAGAAACAAGCTTAATAGTTGGGATTTTGAGAGATCAGAGTTGTGCCAATTTTAGAAGTGTAAAATATTTATTTATTTCTTTATACTGTATAAGTAATATAATCATACTACTAAATCAAGAGGAAAAATCAAAGGAAAAAATTATCTTCATTATAGCATAACCACATATCCATAAAATGTTTTGGCATTTTTCAGGTAGCGATAGTGGTGAACCCAATTTTAATTTTCGTATACTTCCATGCACCAAAAAGAATGAAAGCTCTACATGCTTTTTGTTCTATCAAACTACAAGAAAATATGTAGGTCATTCATGCCTCTTTGTCTTCATGCTGAGTTTTGCCTGCCTCCTGCTTACTGTAAATAGGTTGCCCTGAGTGAAGCTTAATTCCCTGAGTGGGTGGTTAGGGTCCTTTTCTTTCAATACTTTGAGTTATATGAGTTAGCTGCTTCTTGCTTTTCCTAACATGTCTCTGATGTAGACTGCTACATACAGTAAGATTCCTTTGAGTATGTTATCCCTACATGTTATTCCTACCACCTGCCTTGTAATACAATACTGCTTCTATTTTTCTGTACTTACCTTGTTTTATAAGCCCCTTTGGTCTTCATACAATGCCACTGTCTCCTTTTTGTAGTAATTACAACGATAGCTAACATTTACTGAGTGCAAGTAATTATGCAAACTGTTAAATGCTTTACTTTTGTTTTCTCATTGAATGCCTACAACAAATCCATGCTAGAAGTATTGTTATTAGCTCTATTTTACAGATGTAGAAATTAAAGCAGAGATTAACTTGTCTAATATCACAGAGCTTGCAGGTGGTAACTGTAGATTATGAGTCATTAGCCTACATTTATTGAATTTTGACAATTGAAGTAATGTTTTTGGTAATAAGTGTCATAAACAATCACAAATGCAATACCAAAGTCAAATAGATAGTAACACCTAGATGGACACCATCATGTGTATAATGTTTATATATATATATTTCTTTTTTTCTGATTACAATGTGAAATTTTAATAATATTACTATAATTTTAAACTTTTCTTTTGTATAGATAACTAAAAATAATGCTTAATATAAAAATATTGCTAGGAAATTGAACATTTTTTATTATATATATTTAACATTGAAAATAAAACAAATTTTTTAATTCTTGCAGATAATTATTTCCAAAAATTATAGACACAAGGAGAAACATTGATTTGGAAGTTAAGGAAGAATCTAAAACAAGTGAACTAAATCCTTTATTGTAGAAAGTTCATTCATTGATTTATTCAAGAATTTATGTAAGTGATGGGTGCTATTTATTGGACTACCACCTCTTTGTAATGGAGGTTTGAATTCTAGCAAGAGAAACATTTACAAAGAAGAATTACTTCTTTTTAATTTTTTATTGGTACAATTTAGGTATACATAATGATCACATTCATCTTAGGGAATTTGTACCTGTACATGATGTATCTTGATTCTTAGAAGAATTACTTTTTGACAGTAAAAACAGGTAAGTTCATGACTTACCAAAGAAGGTGGAGAAATGTGTCCGTTACTTTATGCCTGTCATTGTTTGCCTAATGCAGTGGTGGTGAAGCTATGGCATGTGTCCCAAAGCAGGCTGCTTATATCATTGAAAGCTCTAAATGGTTCTCCATCAGTGGCCTAATGTATAAATGGCCTGTGTACTTACCTTCTTAGAGATATAGTGTAAGGATGAGACAGACTGATTTGTAATATACTCAAGTCATGCTCTGCATTAGGGGAATTTGATCAACAATAGAGCATATATATGAAGGTAGTCCCATAAGATTATAATAGAGCTAAAAATTTCCTACCTAATCATAGCATTGTAGTTTTTCTAGTGTCTTATGGCAGAGTGTTACTCAACGTGTTTGTGGTCATGTTGGTATAAACAAATCTACTCTGCTACCAGTTGCATAAAATATAGCATATACACTTATGGATAGTACCTAATACTTGATAATAAACAACTACATTACTGGTTTATGTATTTGTGATACTGTTCTCATTACTTTAGATTATACTCCTAATACTTATTTTAAAAGTTTACTTATGAAACAGTATGTGGTCTTATGCAGACAGCAGCCTCATACACCTATTTATTGTCTCTTGATTGCATCAGAAGACCATGTGGAATGATATGTACTAGACAGGTTTGTGTAAGCACACTAAGGGTTTTAAAAGCACAGCGACAAAATTGCCTACTAGTGCATTTCTCAGAACTGTCCCAGCTGTTAGGAAGTGCTTTTTTTTTTTTTTTTGTGGTACCAGGGATTGAACTCAGGACCTTGCGCTTGCAAGGTAGGCAACGGTGCCACTGAGCTAAATCCTCGGCCCCGAGGAAGTTCATAATTATATATCAAAAAATGGTATCTCTAGATTAAGAAAGCTCAAAATAGAATCAGAATTAAATCAGAGAATGCAGGATGTTTAGCAGAAATCCAGCAAAATAGGACTATTTCAGGTGATTATTTAAATGTACTATGATCTGTCCATCAACTATGGCAAAATCAGTGACTTTCTGAAATTTTCAGTGTCTTCTGGTGAATTTACATTGACTTGACTTTGGTTAAGCTCCTGTCTTTCTCTTTAGAATTTCCCTTTGGCCTCTGTCTAGTGGCAACCAAAATCCAGTGACTGGTCAGGGCTGAAATATAAAGGTCCAGTCTCCTTACCTCAGTTAAGACAGCTCTGAAGAGTCACTCAAATTCCATGCCTCACTTTGGGATTTGACCTCTGTTACAGCTCTGTCTTCAGTTTCTTTCTTTGTCCAGTTCTGCTTCGCAGTCTCTCAGCTAATTCCTTAGAGCTTCCACAGTAAACCTGCATACCGTCCCTGCCTCAGTCTGTTTCCTGGAAGCATGTTAACATTATTTTGAGAAGAAAGAATGATAAATATTAACTGCTTCTCTCAGATCTCAACACACAGTAGGTGCTCAGGAAATGCTAGTTATGGATGACTTTCATTATAGGGTACATTAAACCACACAAGGAAAATGCTTAATTTTTATAGAAGATCCAGCATCCCCCTTACCACCAATGGTCTCTTCCTCATAAAGCTGAGAAGAAAACAGAAAAATTCTACTAAATTACATAAATAATGTTATGAGGGTCTAAATCAGTTCAAGTTGCCCAGGGACAGATGCTTAAAATAGATTTAAAACTTGCTTATTTTCAAATTTTTCATAAAAACAGTATGTGTCATGCTGGGTGTGGTGGCACATGCCTGTAATCCCAGCACTGGAGCATCTGAGGCAGGAGGATTTCGGTATCAATATGGGCTACATATCAAGACCTGTCTCAAAAAAACCCCAAAACCATATGTGTCAGTATAAGTGCAAAAAAACCTTATGTTGTGATTTAATTTGATTTTGGTACCCAGATGTCTTGGTGAAGGATTTCTAATAATCTTAGTTTTCAGGTGAATTTATCTGAATGTCTGGATTCTTTTTATACATACATACATACACAGAGAGAGAGAGAGAGAGAGAGAGAGAGAGGGAGAGAGAAAGATGGGGGAGAGAAAGAGGGAGGGAGAGAGCGCAAGCCAAAAAAATGTACACACACTTCAGTTTGCTATAGTAATAAATGTCTGGAAGCTCATGGCCACCACTTTGAGCACCTCTTGTAATTGTAGAGGCCAAAGGTAACTTGTATTGATCTCATAATATCTCAGTAAATTCAGTATTAAAATATTTATACAAGTTTTTCTTTGGTAAAAATACAAAACTTAGATAATCACATGGCATATGAAAGGAATAAAGTGGCTTACAATTTCAGAGGAAAAACCTTTTCTGGATAGTTTCCTTCTTAAACATTGGTCTAATAATAGAAGGCACTCTTTGTATTTGGGAATCAATACAATGTTGTAAAGATGTTTGAGGGTTTTTTAAATTGTACATGTTTTCAGGGAAGGAGGGAAAGGAAAAATTATAAGAAAGAAAAAAAAATGGAATCAAACTAAATAGGGAAGGGTGAAGGGGGTAAAGGGTGCACAGGTAATGGGAGAAAAGATACTAAGATACATCAGAAAAAATTGTACATGTCTTTGCAGTTTTAAATTTTTAGGTATGGTTATTTGTAGAATAATTAGTTCTTAGTATAAGCTGTATGGGAGACCTTTAAAGAGGAATGGTTCATTCTTGCTAGGCTGGAAACATTTTGGATAATTTTCTTAAATGTGCTTTTTAGATACCATGTACTAATAATAACTTTTTAGTGTTACCCAAATAGCACTTGGAGGTGTGACATGTAGAGGAAAAGACTGAAAAAGATGCTGATGTAGCACGTTCAGAGGTGATATAGGTGATATGAAAATAACCTCCAGTCCAAGGCAGTTCTTCAGCAAACTGATTTTTCCCCTTTCAGGTGAGGGCCATGTTCTCCAGACAAATAGTGTTGTTTGCCCATCTTTGGTGACTATAACTACATGCTGTTTATATCTATAATGTGTTCACTTCAATTTTTTGACCTGTTTTATAGAGAAGCATTTAGGATCCTATGTTTAGAAGGATTCTTGAATCCCAAAGGAGCTCCTAAACATAAACATACTAGGTATGTTTTACATTGTTGCTGATAATCTGAGATAATTATGTGAGTATCCATGTGAAGTATGGAAAGTGTAGGGTTAAAGCTTTATGATTACATGAATGTAGTTTGAGCAGTGGACAGTGTTATAGTCGATTAGTATTGTCCCCCTTGAAGTGTTTTTTCTCTTCATGAAGAAACCTAGAGAATTTAGGACTTGATATTCATTGAGAACCAAATTTCCTGAATTATGTATTTTATGCAAGAATCTCTCAAGAAACAGTAGTGCTGGGCACGATAGTGTGCACTTGTAGTCTTACTTGAGAGATTGAGGCAGGAAGATCTCTTGAGCTTAGGAGTTTGGGGCCAGCCTGGGCAGGGTAGTTGAGAGTACCCTTCTCTTTAAAAAGGAAAGATACCTGTGCCAGTCCCCCAAGGTGAATGCAATCATATACTACACAAATATATACTAATAAAAAAAGAAGCAAAGTTGATTTATCTCAAGTATTTATTATAGCAAGGGAAAGTTAACAGAAAAAGGAAAGAAAAGTGGATTTGACTAAATTCACTTCCTAAAGGAAATACAAATGTGCTGTATCTAATTGAGCAGGATACTGAGCAGATTGGTTTTAGAACACCTATATACAAATTAAATCTACCTTATTTTAGGGTTTCTGGTTAATGTACCTTAAAATCTTTTAAGAAAAACTGACATAGTATAGAGCAGAGATTTTTAAGCTGAGCTTCTTGCATAGGCTTATTAAACAATTGATACATTGTGCTCACTTCGGCAGCACATATACTAAAGAATTGGTACATTTTATAACAATTTATAAACAATCTGTGCATTTTTCCAGGGAGAGGATCTGTGACCTAAAGAAGTTAAGAACCTCTGTGCTGGGCTGGGGATTTAGCTCAGTGGTTCCGACCCCTGCCTTGCAAGCAGAAGGACCCAAGTTCAATCCCCAGTACCAAAAAAAAAAAAAAAAAAGAACCTCTGTGCTAGAGATGAAAAGGAAAAGAAGAATGAAATAGTTTTTTTTAACTTGCTGAAACTTGGTCTGTAGTACTAAGAATTGCAGGAGTGTGAAATAAATTTGCTGTATTTTTCTTTTTAGTTTTGTTTTGTTGCAGTTTTTTTTCAATTTAAAAAGATTTAGGCCAGTGATGGAGAACCTTTAGAACTTTCAGTGATAACAAACAGCCTGCTGTGGTGCTTATGCCACAGCTTCACTGCTACTGACTTAAGGCAGTTGGCAAGTTAGTTTGCCATATTTAATGCACCTAAAACCTAATAAAATGAGTAGTAAAAGTTCAGACGGCCCCACATGGTTTTGCCTTAGGTGCCTTTCTACTCATTAGTTATAGGTTTATGTCAAGTTATGTGTAGGAATTTATTCTGGAGTCTTAACATCTCCCTTACTGTGTGCAGAAATGTGTTTATTATTTCTGTGTTTAAGGTTTTTTCATTCCTACAGTAACAAAGTACAGCTAATTAAAGAAATGTTGAGTCTTAAAAATATTAAAAACATGGCGGCCAGGTATTTAGCTCAGTGTTTCCACTGCCTGCCTCGCAAGCGCAAGAACCCGAGTTCAATCCCCGGTACCAAAAAAAAAAATATTAAACATGTTTTGATTTGTTGCCACTGTTAACTGAGTGCAAGTAGTAATAGTTGCAATTGCATAATTTTAAAGAAAGAAAAATGATCTATTTTGCAAAGACTTTTGTTGCTTCAAGATATCCATCTACCTTAGTCTGAGATACTGTTGTTTTACTTTTATAAGAAAATCAATCACTGGAGATTAACCCTCAGTGTGATTTCCCCATCTCTTATGAAGTACATGTGATTTTTAAGGCTTTGCTTACAAATAAATTTATTCTTTAATCATTTGAGTTAAAGAAATTACTGATTTGTCATGGTTAGTTGGCAGAGGACTAAGATAAGTATGAAATCATTTCTAGTATGACCAGTTTGATAGCTACATTTGAAAATCTGTTTCATTGCTTTTTTTTCCCTTATAACATTGTTTCTTGCTATTATAACTAAGCTGTCCTCCCTGCAGATTGACTTTTTCATCTGACCTCGTAGACTGATCAAGCCAACACATGTATATAGCTATTACGCCCTGTTTCTGTTCCTTCCCATTAGATGCTCTGTTCCACTCACTTATGTTCAGTTCAGTTAGAGCCATGGTTTTGTTGTGATTATTATTTTATGATTGTATGAAATGGGGGAAACTTTGAGAAAATTATTGAGCCAATAGTGGAACTGGTTGATCTATGCTTTTATGATTTATTTAGTTTGCTTCGTACTTTGCAGTACCAGGGAAGAACATAATTCTTCCCATTTCCTGAAAGTTGAAGGAGGGAGGAGACTGAAGGGAAAGAAACCATAAACTCACCCCAAAGTTAGCTTAATAATGTCAGGAAGGGCTTTGATGAAACCACTGGCCCTGCTTATAGATCTTATTTTCCAAGCCTTTCATTATTTTATTTGCCCTTTTCTGAACTCTACAATTTCCCTCTCTTGTAGCTGGTTCGATGCCCAGAACTGAATGCTGTGCTCCAGCTGTGGCCTCACCGGTGCTGAATAGAGAGGAAGAGCCACCTTCATAGCTTACATGTGATTCCTCTGCTTATACAACCCAATACTGGATTTACTTACTTTGGCAAGATAGCTGCATTGTGCACTGTATTTAATGTTACGTGTACTGTAACCCTGGGTCTTTCTCTGCATTGCTGCCGTTAAACCCCCAATCCTGCCAATCTAAAACTCCTGCCTTTGTTCGCCTGTCCCCCTTCCCCATAGACTCCCTGTATATTCATCCACAATGAATGTCATCTTTTTATCCTCTCATTTCCTTTTACTCTAATCTTAAACTTTGACAAAACTTTTCATGCTGTCCTATAAATTGTCATTTGTCGGCCGTCTTATTTTTCTCCCTGCTTTGATAATGGAGACATCTTCCAAATCTTTCTTCTGGTTCTCTTCCTTTTGTAGTTGTTAAGCACTTGGAATGGTGGAATTTTTTAGTAAACATTCGCCTGGCATTTCTTGTAAGTCAGATATCCATAAACTCCTCAGGTTTGACCATCTGATGAACTTATCTTTACTTTAGTTCTATCCTTCTTATCTCACAGTTTTTCCTCAGGGAGGAGACACAAACATAATATCCATTTACCCAAGAAATTTCTTGGTTTTTTTTTGGTACCAGGGATTGAACTTGGGACCTTGCCTTTGCAAGGCAGGTACCAGTACTACTGAGCTAAATCCCCGGCCCCCAAGAAATTTCTGATAACAAGGAATGTTATAACTTTTAATCGTGCATAGTATAGTCTGATAATTTTAAGCAAGTTATTCATCTTCCCCAAGACCTTTGTGAGGGCAAATTAGAACTTAAATTACTATAACTTTCTAAGATAAGTGAGGTAAAGGAAGGGAAATAAGGTTTTGTGTTGAGTAGGATGTGGCTCCCAAGAAAGCCAAATGGAAGTTCTATTGGATTTGCTAGCTGTCTGGAATGGTGATGAGACTTTGTTTTTCCTGGAATCTGGAGCATTGTAATCTCAGACTTAGAGTACATTTTTAAGTTGGTTTATTTAAGACTGCTGATATAGACACCTATTCTTTTAATTATATGCTTTGTTTAATGAGAATATAGAATGTGTAACCTTTTCTGCTTTACTGTGGGTGATAATGATCTCCATACATCGTTTTTTATCCATTTCTGAGCTCTCTCAAGTTTAAATTGCAGTGTTTCTTTATAGTAGCAGTGAAGCTGATGTTTAAATTCTTCTTTTTTCTATCTTTGTTGATGTGGTGTATTTGGTAGACCAGCCTAATTTGTGGTCTTTACTGAAACCAGAAGTTACTGGTTATGTGTATTTATATCTTGAGAGAGTTAAAATCAATTTGAAAATCTTTTAAACATTATTACAGCACATCAGATTACTATCATATGGATTTAGGAGTTATCTTCCCTTCAGGCACCACATAGATATTTTATATATCAGCATAGTACACTATAAAAATATTTTGCAAAAGTGTACTGTAAGAGGTGGCAAGATCCATTAGCCTTTTATGGTGATATATAAAATATATCACCTGACTCTTCTATATCTATAGTCATTAAATATTGCTACTTTCATTATGTATGATTACATATGCCAAGTGAAATTCTAAGGTCAATTTGATGGTTTCCAAGAGAATGAGTCTTTTCTGTTTCCCACCATGTATACTATCAAAAATTGGTGGTTTTGCTTACATTTGTTTCATTTCCTAATAAGTATGATACCTTTCTTCAAAGGAACATTGGTTTTATTTTTTGACTTGTGAATTAACTCTCAGTGACAGAGCTGAGTGGACTTGACTGAACTCTTTTGTGCGCTAAATGCTTTTCTCTAGACAGCCAGAAAGAAGTGAACAGTGGCACAGTTTCCATCTCCATTTATGGCCTTGGAAGGTTGAAAGGGACAGAGTTGGGACTCTCCATTTATGGACCTTGAAGGAGTTGAAAAGAGTGGTTGGGGTGCTCTTGGAGGCAGAAACTAGACATTATGAGATAAAAATAAATTGGCAGGAGATGTTTGCAATACAAATTCCCGTCCCTGCAAGAAGGGAAGAGGGTGCTGGGAAAGGGGAGTATGTAGACGGTCAGATGAGATTGCTGTGGCATTTGTCTCCTTCCATTGTAAGACACATATTTCCCAAGTTCATGTGTCTGGTTTATTCTATCAAGTTATGTATGTCTAATGTCGTTGTAGCTATCCTTTATGAAAAGGAAGAAGAGACACTTTTTAAAGACTGTATTACTGGAAACCTCAGTTCTGAGCATCATTTGGGGTACCAAAAGAAGTCTCAAGAAAGGGAAAATGGGTCACATGCTTGTGCTACAGGCAGATTGGTTGGTTCTAAGGCAGGTGATTAATTCTTGCTCTGTTTGTGTCTAAGGAAGATCCTGTATGTCATGCTCTTGTTTCTTTTGCCTATCATTATTTCTGATCTCCAGGAATAGGTTTAAAAAGTACTTGACAGTATCTTACAGGTTGTTATCTGTGATTTAAAGATAATGAACTTTCACAGATCTATGAAGAGTGTTGAAAGTTGTTTTAGTTAAGTAATATATTGACTTATGGAAAGTAATCCCAGCTTTAGGAAAACTTTATAGTCATGGTAATGCCTATAAATTAAGTCAGGGGTGATCTGAGTTTATGTAGTTGAGTTAGATACTATTTGGAAGCCACTAGAGAAAAAGAGTCTCCTCTCTCAAGAAAATTCTGTGAAACCCAGTAACGTTGAAGAGAGATTAGAAGGAACAAAAAGAGGCAGAGGTGGAATAAAACCTGGATGTGACTAAATTTGGAAGCTGGGACTAATTTCTTATCTTTCAAAGTATCATATAAGATACCGTAAGATGTAAATTAAACTCAGTAAGCTGGGCTAGTAATCAGAAATATGCATTAGAAATAAAGACCATGGAATAATTGAAGGATTGCACAGTATAATGAAATTATTTAAGTTTTATCTGTGGACTTACTTGCTGATAATTTGTTGTATGCATGTGGCAGAAAAGGAAGTAAAATAATTTTCCTATTTCATCCTCCCTTTAGAAAAGAAACTATTGGTCTTGTTTGGTTGTTTGTTTAGTTTGAGTTGGTAGACTAGTAAAATGTATTTAGGTATTATTTTTGGATTTGTAGGAATAATGTACTTCTCGATCATTGATGTCTGAGACTGGGAACTTGTGTTACTGATTTGCCTTCTGTATTAAATTTTAGCAGCTTCCACAAAGATAGTGAATTAGTAAGGAATAGACTATGTAAATAAATAATATGCTTTACTAGGTAGTTTGTTTAGGCAAATTTTTTTACCCCATATTTCTTTCTTAATCAAGAATAAGGAAGGTGTTCTTTGCTTTGGGAAATTCTTCTTTCTGTCCTCCTTCCCTCACTTTTTCCAAATTCTGGGCACATAGCAGCTTTCTCTGTTCTGTGGCAGGTGTGCATCCTATTGGCTGGCTGGTATTTCTTGTTTTTTCTTCCCCTTAGTCTTTTTTAAATGGGGGTGGGGGTATAAAATATGTGTATGAGATACATGCAATAATGTTTTAATGTTTCTTGTTGTTTAATGGATACTTAATTGCAAAATAATTGTTTGAATTATAACATGTTTGAGTAAATGCTAAATTAGTATTTTTCTAATATAATAATGAATTTGAAATCTAGTATTCCTGTAACAATGTGTCTATGTTTGTCTGTCTGTGTCTGTCTAATAGTAATTAATATCTGTGGTCCGTATCTGGAAGAGGAAGTACAGCTTTAAAGGAATAACAAAAGACTTTGTGTCTTAGACCCTTCGCAGGTGTTACAGTCGGGTGAAAGAACATGGTGTTGGGAAAAGAAAGAGCAGTTACACATTTGAACAGTTGGAACAGGTGTTTGGTCAGGGAGGATGGGATGCTCAGCCCTGCCAGCCTGTACTTATTAACAGTAGTGGCTTGTACCAGGAGCTGGAGTCAGATGGCAGCACTATGGAGGACTATTCACAGGAGGACTGGGGAAACCACAGTCAGGATCTCCATGGCTATCCAACAGATCAGGAATTGGGTAAGAAAGCCAATATATATGAGAACTCTGGGTGTGTGTGTGTGTGTGTGTATGTATGTATCTGGTATATGCAACACTTCTTGTTATCAGTGATGTTTTCTGGTACTGTTCTCACTGTCATCACAAGGCATATCACCAGTCTGTTTGGGGAATGTGGGCCTCCTTGGTTTACCTTTAAACAGCCAACTAGTGCTTGATAATTTGAGTGCCATCAAGATTCCTAAGGACACAGCTGGGGATTTAGCTCAGTGGTTCTGCTGCCTGCCTCGCAAGCATAGGTCCCAAGTTCGATCCCTGGTACAAAAAAAAAAGATTCCTAAGGACAGAAGAATTCCTAGTTCTGAGCTACACAAGGAGGCCCAGTAATGGGTAGAATCTTACACGGTTCTGAATACCCTGCACCTTCTAATTTTAAGATTTCTGCCAAAGAGTATTGACTTGTGGCTCAACTGCCATAAATGGATTTATCCTTTCCTTCCTTCATTCCAAGTAATTTTTCTTTTCTGCCTGCCATTTGGGAAAGTTTCTCTCCCAGATTTCAGTCTAAACAAAAAATGAGAAGAAGCTTTCACTTGAACTGATGTCTAGACCACATTAGTGATCATGTTCCTTCAAACTTCTTAAGGGATCCCATTCCAATAGTAGTAGAATGATTGATATACAGTAAAGATATCCAGATGGAAAATGAAATTCCTGGCCATCAAATCTAAATTTTACAGTGTGGTTAAAAGTATATAAATAGTTTTTGTTTGTTTCTTTTTGTATTAAGTACTTTTATTTTCATAATCTGGAAGTACTGATCAGATTTCTGTTGCAGCCACTATATATATATATATATGTTTTTTTCATTGTTTATTGATACGGAGCCACTGTATATTATCAGTAAGTTGTCTCATGAGTCTTTTTTTTTTTTTGGTACTGGGGATCAAACTCAGGTCCTTGCGCTTGTGAGGCAGGCGGCGGAACCACTGAGCTAAATCCCCGGCCCATGAGTCCTCACTTTTAATATTTAAATGTTCATCTTTCCTAGTGAGGTATTCAAGGACCCCAAGGAAGCATGTATAGAATTGTCAGTATAAAAGTATTTCCCTAGCTTAAAAAAATCCCATAAGCACTATTTTTAAAGATTTCTTATGATAGAGAAATGCTAATTCAAAATAAAAAAGAATTAACTGTTAATATATTTCCTATGAATGCTGTTTTTAAATCTCTCAAATATTGGAAGAGAAAGAGAAGAAAGGCTAAAAAACAGTAAGACTAATAGTATGTAAGAAAGGGACTTAAAGATTAGAAGAATAAAAGGAACAGGTGCTAAATGACATTGCCTCCTAATTTCACAAGAGTAATAAGGTCTAAATTACTTTGGCATCCTATAACATTGGATTTGCCATAGAGAGTTAAGTTACCGAACCTTTTCAGGGGGAGAGGGGGATGCAAAATATGCTGATCCTGATATTGAAATAATTATACTATAAAACCTACATAGATAATCTAAACAGAACAGAGTTATTTTCATTCTTGTTCTTTTAAAATCATGTTTACAGTGAAATTGTTTTAAGCTCCTACTTAAAAATCCACTGGTGACCTTGAAGAATTTTATACTTGTGGAGCTGGTTTCTGATCTTGCATATAAATATATGTATCTCATTATATAAAAGTTACATATATAAATCTGGCATTGGACAATACTGAGCACTAGAATGAGAGCCTGGTATGGGAAGGTATGGAATGAACAGTAAATATAGTTACTTATCTACATAAATGTATACTACCACTTAGAAAAATATAATTTGTTCCAAAATATTTGCTTTTCAGATGAAATACCTGTCACAAAGAGAACATTAAAAATTAAACAAGAGTCTTCTGAAGAGGCACAGTAAGTAAATGCTTCACCTTTCCACAAAGTATGTCTGCCTAAGTTTGATAACTATTGGGAGGATCAGAAAGTAACGAGACATGCTATGAAACTTATACAGCTGTACCACAAGGAAGCATACCTATTTGTTCTTTCTTTTTTTTGTTGGGTTTTTTTTTTGTTTGAGACAGGGTCTTGCTTTGTAGTTCAGGCTGGCCTTGAGCTCCTTGTGTAGCCCAGAGTGTCCTTGCAGCAAATCTTTTGTCTCAGCCTGCTGAGTGCTGGGATTACAGGCATGCACCACCACACCTGTACCACCACACCTGTACCACCACACCCAGCATATTTGTTCTTTCTTACGTTCTTAGTTTAAATTTTCCAGTAGTAATGTGAAATGTTGAAAATTTTGTATGCAACAAGAAATAAATGTACTACATAAAAATAAGCATGTTGATGGTATTTCCCCATGTGTGAATGCGAATATCTAGATTTTTTAATAAGGTACAAAGATGAGTCACAGGGACTTGAGCTTACTTGGGGCTATATGAAATGCTAGGAGGACCAAGGGGGCACTTAAATTCCTTATAAGTATTCCAATTTGGGAATCAAAAAGCAAGCTCTTAGATGATGACCTTTTTATGCCTTCAGAAAAGAAAGTATTATTGAAGGAAGGATTTAAAAAGCCCAGACACAGGGTCCTCCACTGACCCTAAGTGTTGTTATTCTTCCTAAGAGTTTAGCACCCGTTGTTACATTTACAGTGCATTTTTTAGTAACATTAAGTAAGTTCTTAATTAAATCTATTAAAGAAAATAAAAGTTAAAAGTAGGCGGCAGTTTATCTTTCATTCTACCATGATACCTTAGTGTTTGAGAGACGGTGAAGAAAAAAACAAAAGGTGAGATTAAAAAGGACAATGACGGATAATAAGCAGTATAGCAAAGGCAAGGTGTTTTCATTAGCAAACCACCACTATCGTCATCACCCTTTTGTGAACTTCATTTCTTTTTCAGAGTATCTTTGAAATCAAAGAATTCCTAGTGTTGTCTGAGTCTCACTGGGGAAAGGATATGCCATTCAGGGATCATTTGCTTCCCAAAATTGTAGCCATTATCCTTGCTCCTCAATAAAAGTTTATGACCCAAATCAGTAAGTTTAAGGCCATCTCTTTTTAGAAAAGTGGTTATCTTGCAAAATTGTGATATCAAAATGTACCAAAGGAAAGGAAACTTTTTAAAAGTGAGTTATTACAAGCCTGTAACTTCAAATTCTTATTCTCTAAAAAAAACTACTGGCAGTGTCACTAAAATGTCCTCTCTCTCCCTAACAGCCACTTGGGACCTGAAGGGGAGGCCCTGTTGATATAACTGGGTATAGACTCAAGCTTCACACAGAGGTGGTATCACCAGCCTTAAACCACTTAAACTTTCCTGGTATATGGAACTTTGGAAACCAAGACATATTAGTCAAGAGCTGTTAAATCCCTGGGTCTTGGGGCTGGGGATTTAGCTCAGTGGTTCCACCGCCTGCCTCCCAAGCACAAGGTCCCTCGTGCCAAAAAAAAAAAAAAAAATCCCTGGGTCTAGTTGTCACTGTGACCCCTTAACTTCAGGACTCTCATATGAGCCTTGAGCTCAGAGCAGCAGGGAACCGAGGTCTTCCAGGGAGGAAACTGACAGGCTCTGGAGAATTCTCAGGCCTATGCTATCCCTCCCCCAGGTTTTAGCTCAGGTGGTGAGAGGTTCTGAAGAGCTTCCTGATAGGCCATCTATTTCCCATTGTCCTTTCTTCAGAAGTATTTTTTGCAGTGCCTGACTTCAACATTAATGATGTAGGACTGACAGTGCTGGATAAAATAACTTCTTGAGGCAGTAGATTTTTTTTCCTCCTTAGGTATATGTGCAATTAACTGAATTAGCTGACATTACCTGTAGTAAAATAAAACGTCTTCATCCACCAAGAATAATCATCTAATGTGCTCATTTATTCAGTGGATGTTTATCAAGTACCTACTGTTTGTCAGGCATTGAGATATATCAGTGAGCCAACAGATACAAATCGCTATTGCATCCCAACTCACTGGTGTTCTCCTTGAGACTGATTAACCATCTCAAAAGAGGCCAAGGAAGGATAATAGGTACAAAAGAGTTTTCCTTTAAAGTGCTGACCCACAACAGAAAGAAAGTAATCCTGTTACAGCCTCACAAACACCACAGTCAAATATTATAAAAGTCATTTAGTGCTTTTGTTTCCTCTGATTAGAGGAACGGTTCCCTGGGAATGCAGTGATTTCATATAGATGGCTAGTTTGACACTTGAGAACCCTTCAAGATAAAGTATAAAGGGTAAACTTAGGGCAGTCTTAGGCTAAAGAAGTAGCTGATAACAAAACACTAGCTCTTCATCATCATCTCCTAGACAGTCTAGAGAGGTAAGCAGACTGACAGAATGGCTATGTGTAGTTTTTTCACAATGTTCCAAAAACTTCCCTGGAGAATGAGAGTTCAGTAGATAAGGCTCAAGGTTCTGTCTCTCATGGCTTCCTCAACAATATGTTAGCAAACCCACTTTTCTTGCCTTAGTTTGTGAATGAATGTGACAGATGAGTATATTTGTAGGTTAAAACTATAACTGATGTCTGGCCGGGGATTTAGCTCAGTGGTTCCACGGCCTGCCTTGCAAGCACAAGGTCCCGAGTTTGAGCCCCAGTACCAAAAAAAACTATAATTGATGTGGAGTGTGGTAGTTTGTTGCCAAATTAATATTTAACAAACCAATCTCACCATCAAAGCTTTGCCATACTTGAGAAACAAACTTATAATTACATATTCATATATGTAATAAAGTATATGAAATATCAGCTTACAAGTTATGAGTTACCTTATTCTGTTAGCTATTTAACTCAAAATTCAAATAATTTCTATACTTTTGCCTTTCTTTATAAACAGTTTTCTAAGCCAGGGATGGTGGTACATGCCTGTAATCTCAGCATTCAGAAGACTTAGGAGGATCACTGCAAGTTGATGGCTAGCCTGTGCTACATTGTGAGGACCAGGCCAGCATGGAACCCAT